ATGTATTTTTATTCGAAGAGGTTGACAGATTGACCCGTCTAACGATTATGCTGGCTCACAAAGAACTTGTGTTTTTTCGACAAAAGAAAACTGTTGAGGCGCTTTTACTACGGTTATTTGTGAAAATGTAATGCTTATTATGTTCTTGCTTGATACAGAAACCAAGTTTCAATAACAGTCGGTTTGCAGACAAGAAAGCTAGCCATAAGATGAGTAGATTTAATTAATCCCGAGTTCACACTTTACGGCCATCCTGTTAACAACTACAAGTAACAAATCAAACATTGAATGAGTCGAACTTGAGAATTTCGAGTTCATGTTCGATTATGTTTGAACACAGCTCTCGTGTTTGTTTTTTCATTGTTCGAGCAATAGTTCGTGGTCGAGTTCATTTGTTTAATCATCCGTCAAAAGTTCGAGTTAGTAGTAAAAAGACTTTAAAATTGTTTGATTAACTCTAAATTTGTTCTTTTGTATCCTTTCGAACTCAAAAAAAAAAAAAACATATTTTTATAATTTTTTTTATTAAAAATGCATATGTAAATATGTTTTAGAACAATACCGAAGGTTCCTCAACGGGCTAGTATTCATTTGATCATCAAACGAGCCCAATTTTTTGTTCGAACTCGAATTCGATTGACAAACGAACAAATTCTTGCCGACCAGGAATGACCTTTTCTGCCAAACATTTCCGAAGCATCTTAATTTGCAAATTACATTCACAAACAAAGAGAAGCCCATAAGACTAAAAAAAAAATGCATCAATCCCCCTCTTTTACTCTCATCAATTTCAAGAAACCTTTCCTGCAAAATTGTTATCCATAGGATTACATGTTATTGGGAAACTCAAACTCCACATAAGCAAATTGCCATCAATGAGTCCCTAGTCCTCTATATTAACCCACTCTCCACCAACACATTCCTCACCAACCTACAAAAGCTACTACTAACTTCACAATCCAAAATCCCACAAAAACTTGAGAAAAGAAAAGAAGAAATGAAGGGTGCTATTTTCTCCCTTTTCTTCATCCTCTCTCTTATTTACTCCCTTGTTCACCTGAGTAATGGTGCTCTGCCATGCGGCACGGTGGACATGAAAGCCGCGTCATGCATTAGCTTCGCCACGGGTAAGGACAAAAAACCATCGGCCGCTTGCTGCTCGGGGCTGCAACAGCTTGCGCAGACCGTGAAAACAGTCGAAGACAAGAAAGCCATATGCAGATGCCTAAAAACGGCTGTAAAAAACTTCAGCGGAGTCCAGGACAGGTTCCTCAGCCAGATTCCAACCGCATGTAAAATCAGGGTCGGCTTCCCTGTTTCCATAAACACCGACTGCGAAAAGTAAGCGTTTGTAGGCTATGTTTGGTAAACCTAGTTGATAGCTGAGAAGTGAATTTTGAGCTTATAACTGGTAGCTTATGACTTACAGTTGAAAAGCTAGTTCATCATATGATAAAAGTTTGGTAAAATTAGCTGATAAGTTAGCTAAAATAAAAAGTTCGTTCTACTAAACCAACCCTATTTGAATACATAAAACTTATAAGTTAACCAAATAAGCTATAAGCTAGCTTATGATGCTTACCAAACACACTCGTCGTTGTATACCCGTTTTTTAATTCGTCTTCGATCTTCAAGCACGTTTTTCCGAATCTAAAAAATTGGTGTTTGGTTTTTGTTTTTGCAGGCTCCATTGAGGTGCATTGGAGTCGAAACGGATGGTTTTGAGTCGTCGCCATTAGGCATGTGTTGAATAAGACTTGAACTCCACTCTTTCTTTGGGAGCGTGTTTGTTGTTATTGTATTTGGTTGTTCTTCTATGGAGGAGCTATTGTACCAAGTAGCATTATGGAAAATAAATTTTTTTGAGTAGTTCTCAACACATTTGTCATAAAACAAAACACATAAGTGGTACAAGGTAAGGTATATAATCAAGAAAACAACCTTGAAGTTCGGCCAAATCGCATGAAGAGTGACTATAGTAATAAAAACCTATAAATAAAATAAGACTTCTTCCTAGAATAGAACACAATAAATTTGATTCAACAATCACTTATAGCTAGAGTCATATATATGCATTCCATCAATTGACTTGTATTAGTATCAATTTTTAAATAAAGAATCTCAATTCTCAAATAACTCCACATTGCATTTGAAATTTCAAGTAAAGGAATTTCAAGCTTTTCCCTTTAATATTTCCACTTTGGAATTGAATGATTTGGGTAAGAATATTACATATTAAGAACCCTTTGAATAGTCAATGTCAAAGAGGCAATATGACTCAAGTCAAAATTATTGATCATTCATTAAAGCCTATATTCTTCTTAATTTGAAAAAATAATTATTATTTTTTTTATTTTGTTCATGAATTAAAGATGAGTGCTAATAATTAAGTGGAGTAATAATTATTATCCATGGGTTGGCAAACTTATGATTAAAATTTGACTAAAGTGATAAAAAAAAAGGCTTAAAAGAATATGTGTTTTGAATAAATAATGGCTTTAAACAGTCTCTCCATTAAAAGGGTACATAAAATTCTTGGATAAAAAAAAGTTGATAAATGGATTTGACAAAACTTGAACTCACTGTTTTGTCAACTAATTATTATTATTATTAATTTATTAGTAGTACAAGCAAAAGTGCTTCTACAACTACTCTATACTCTATACTAGTATTCGATTCTGTGCACATGCACAGATGCTAATATATTTTTATATGATATATGTATGTGTATGTAATATTTAAAATCATAAGTTAGATAATAGCATATCACATTTTATAAATTTTATCATTAGTAAAAATGAAAGATAAACTATTAACTTACATATTAGTTTTTATATCGATTACAGTTATATAATTTTAGCAATACTTTTTTAGTATGAATAATTGATTATATAAAATATTATTGAAATAATTATGATTATAGTATCGAAATTTTGTAAATTTTGGTTATATCATAAAAATTAGTAACTAATGTTGATAAAAACACTTGCTTCATGAGTTAAAACAAAACAAAAAAAATATCAAATAAATAGTTTGAAAAAAAATTAAATTATAATTTCATTTAATGTGGTTTTATGATTTGTTATGAGTAATTGCTATATAATAAAATAAATAAAAAAATATAAATACTTAATTAATGCAAAGTAACCTTTTTTGGAGGGAAAAATTTTGAGGTTTTATTAAATGCACATGAGCTAGTAATTATATATATATAGACTATGCACATTATTTTCTTATCAAAAGAGTTTGATCGATGTTCATTGATTAACAAAAGACAATTTCGATTGCATGTTATATCATCAAATTTGAATTTCATTATTTATTAAATTTAAACTTTAGGTAGACACATGTTTTTATTTTATTTTTTTATTTACTTTTTTTTTTTTTATAAATATCAACTTGTATTGAAGTTAACTAATTTCAATCAGATGTAACATATATAATTAAGTTTTCATTAGATGATTATCAAGAATGGAAATATATACATTATATTTCTATTTATTTACTAAATATTAAGTAATATTTTAAAATATTTACCAAATATTTTCTAAAATATCAACTAAGTTAACTTTCAATCAGAGATGTTGAATATGAGGTTCTTACTAAACAAAATAGTGAAATACTATATATATATATATATATATATATATATATATATATATATAATAAAACTATTATAAAAACAATTAATGACATGCATAAAATTATTTTTATATATTGTACGTATGTATCACATTTTATATTTATTTTGATAATATTTTATGTAGTGAAATTATTTTCTAACAACCATTCTAATATAAAATAAAAGAATTGACGAAAGATAAAATGTGTGTCCACCGGCTGAAACAACTCCCGCCGGACTCTAGAAGAGTTATTTGGCGGCCCAATGACAGATTTCCTCCAGTTCGTACTAAACCCGGTTCTCTTCAAACTCAATCATGATGTGTTATCGTTGAGATAGCTGAATTGGTTGGCACGTATACATGATTTGTGAACTGATGAATTTATATAATTTTTATATAAGATCATGGAGAAAATAAGAAATTCTTTACATCTATTATATATACTTTATTACAACCTTCAGTAATATCTATAGCATCTTTAGAAAGATATTGTTGCATCTCGTCTTATTTTTGTTAGTAATAAATAGCAATTTATTATGTACGTGATCAAATATTTATAAAATACTATGTGTAACTAAATTATACAACATTCAAATCTACTAATTAAGTTGAATATTATTTTTGTGGAATATTGTGTCGCGAGCATTTTGCGGGTATAACACTGGCCCTTTTACATATCCCCTCCCCTATATATTAATTCAGAACGCGCTGAGCTTACGTGGCTTCTTCTGGTGCTTCGTAATTCTATGTGGCAAAATTACATGCTTCACAATTAGGCTTGGGTAAATTTTAATTTAATTCCAAACAAAAAATAATTAGGTTTGGATTACCATAAATATATAAATTATTTATGGTCATGTTAAATGTATTAATTACATTTCAATGTCATTCCTTATTATAACTATTGAATTGTATATATTTTTTAAAAGTTAATAACTTTTGTATTTGTTATCAGTTTTACATATGTAATATATCAAATTAATCGTCTTTTGATGAGCTTCGATTTGACATCCATATTGTATGTATAAAAATAATAATTTATATTTATCTTTATAACAATAATAAAATTATTTTTAATATTAATTAGAAAAATAAAATTATTTATCAACTAATATATTTATATTTCAAGTAGTTATATGATATAAGTTATAAAAACTAATATAATATAACACATGTAAGTCATAAGTAACACATATCATTCTAAAATATAGAGTAATATATTTTTTTTGTAAAAAAGTAAACTAGATTTTTTTAGTTTTCTCATTAATTGTAAAATTTAAGAATAATTTTTTAACAAGCACTCGTGTAATACACGGGTGTTGTACTAGTTAAAATATATTATTTTAAAAAAAAAATTACGAAAATATGACATTCATAATAACATTATACATAAACCATTAATAAACTAATAATAAATCAAAAAGTAATAATTTTAAAAATCAATAACTAAAAGGGTACATAATTTTTGAATAAATCATGGCTTTGAATTGAACGGTCTCTCCATTAAAAGGGTACACAAAATTCTTCGATCAAAGAAGTTGATACTTTTATTTTTATAAACATGTCAGTATCTAGTCAACATGAAAAGCGTAAATCCTCATCACTACTTCGACAAATTCAATAGCTAGCACGTTTTTTTTTCATACTGCGTGTTTTTATCGTTGAATCACACACACTTGCACACACTCGCATTTGTATATGAGTTGATGCAACAGTAAAAAAAAGTCCGTTGAAGGGCACAATCGAATTTATCGTCGACTTCACAATTATACTATATTAATTAATTATTGATACATATGACCAATGTATACTCTATTTTGCTCAATTATATATACATAGACTAGAAGTCATACCATATGCTTGTGAATAATTAAACCCACTCCCAACATGTAAATTGGAGTCCAATCCAACATCTTAATCCCTTCATTGAGCTTTATGTCCCATCTAATTATATGTTCCAAAATAGAAATTGATTTTCTCGTTTTTATATTGTTAGATCAACACACAAATCTCACCTTAAAACAATTCATAATTTTGGCCATAAGAAGATGCATATGTAACTTGACCTAATTGGATTAAATTGCACCAAATGGAATTGCTACACCTGTTTGTATACTTTTCTAACACATATATTTATTTATTTTAGTTTCTAACATAAGTTCTTATTGGCGTCGCGTGTGGCGGCACCTCCGGGAGAACCGACACATGCATCATTGCTACCATCCCAATCGTAAAATATAAACGGATCCAAACCCGTGTGACCTGGCCCATTATTGCCCGAGAACCCGAACATATCTAGAGAGTCGGTCTCAATCTCCCCTAATTCCGCGAAAAAACTATCCTCTGAGTGGTCGTGGCTCGGGAAAATTGGCTTGTAGCTGCCCGAAAACCCATCCTCGAAACCTGGATCAAGATCCGGATCCGAACCCGTTTCCTCTTTCGCGGATTGGATGATGATGTCAACGGCCGATGTCGTGGATGATGTGTTTTTCGGGTTGATGGTTTCCTTTTGCTCGTTAGTGGGCTTTTGCGGTGGCGGGCTTTGTGGGCCGGTTGTGGTGTCCACTTTGGACGGTTGAGATCTTGTGGAGCCCGCGAGGGCGTTCCTTTGGGTAGGCCACGGATGGTTGTGCTCCGAGTTGTAGGTGATTACGAGCATGTTCGGGTCAGTTCGGCTCCGCTCGACTTGTTTCCGAGCCGAAAACATCCTTTGGAGCTGCTACATCTATAGTAGCCCCTATGGAGTATATAAATAATAACATCATAAGCATCACAATTTTCGTAATTTGTGTCAAATGACACATTTCACGAATAATTTTTGCGATTTTCATCAAAATCAAGTATTATGTCTAAAATGCAAAAAAAAATATCCATTAACTAATTGTTATAATATCAAGATATATGTAATAATTTAGGTGTTTGAGCATAATATATTCATTTTGAGTATTAGTCAAAATTAAAAATTATATTTTATCAATATATATAAATAGATATTTATCATTTCATTTCATAATATAAGTAATTTTTTATGGAAAGAAAATAGAATGTCCCACGTCAAAGAATGAATCTTACCTTGGGTAAGGGGAACCTTTAATGGGCTTCTGACCGTACTTTCTCCAAGCCCAAAGATCGGAGGGCACAATTTCCCCACTGGGCCTGCTATTTACAGGAGTTGGCGCTGGTACGCATACCACTTTTTTCACCTGACTCTTCCTGATTCATATATTTTGCATGAAAATTTCATATTATTATTATTATTATTATTATTATTATTATTATTATTATTATTATTATTATTACTATTATTATTTATTATTATTATTATTATTATTATTATTATTATTATTGTTGTTGTTGTTGTTGTTGTTATATTAATTTGTTTTGCATATAATTGCAGAACATTCCTTTTTGTTTGAAAAAAAGCCGAAAATGCGGGAGAAAATGAACGGCTCAACTAAAACACTAGCTGAAAATCATTGAGAATTCTGTATGGTGGGTTTACACATATAACAGTGGAAAATGCTACGGTCCCTTATGGAGCCATTGCGTCGAGGTTTGTAACCGTCAGATCATCCTGTAACCGTCATGGATAGTTCGGTTACAAACCTCGACGAAATTGTTCCCTAACGGAACTGTAGCATCTCCCTATAACATACCATTCACACAAATTCAATTTATATATATTTACTTATTTATTTATATATTTGTTCAATTTTAGTATTTGACACATCATGTTAAAATTAAGAATTTGTTCGTTCTTGAAGAACCGAAAACCTATTCTATAGATCACTGAACTTTTCACCGTTGGGTTGATTGCTCGAATCGGGATGAAATTTTCTATTTCAAAATCACGTTTTATTCTATTGGACGAACGACACGTGCTGATATATAATGACGTCACAATTGTACACGTGACAATCATCCAATAGAAATAAAAAAAAAAGAAAAAAATGAATTGGAACATAATTTTTTTTTAAAAAAATATGAATGTTTTTGTGGTAGATTCTTTGCTAGAGACTAGAGTTAATTATAAACTCCAGCTAGCTATTAAATAATCACCCCCAAAACGCTCATTAATTGTTATTCAGTTCATTAAATGCTTACATTGACTGCCCAAAAAAAGTAAAAAAAAAAATATTAAAAATGAGAAAGACCTTTATATATCATTGAGAAATTAATCAATTATGCAGATAATATTACTAGTCAATCATCATTTCAATAAATTAATTATAAAAAAAAAGAAACATAAAAAGAAACGAAATAGAAAAAAAATAAAAATAAAAAATCAAAATCCTACCTTCTTTTGATGCCAGTATTTCGTGGAGACGAGATCTGCATATGAGCTGCATTTTTCGAAGCTACCGAATTCCGGCAATCCAAACCCGCCGCCGGCGACTCACACGGCAACGTACCAGCCGGAGATATCTGAATCATCCTCGAAAAATAACAATTAGGTCTTTTCATCTCCTCCTCATCAAGACTAATCCCTTGACCAATATTCATATTACTAATAATCTTATTTTCATCATTATTATTATTACTAATAATAATATTATTATTATTATTTAGACCAGCAACATCAACAGCAACAGTAACAACAGAAGAAGCAAACCCTAATGTACTTATACTATCATCCAAAAACCCGAGCTTGTCAGGGAAAAACCCTGGCATGGCTCGGGTCTCGGACTCGTGGAGCAACAGGTCTTCGAAATGGGTAAACGGGTCGCCAAAATCATCGCGGCCCGGCTCGTTCTGGTGGATTTCGGTTTGATTGCTTGTCGGAAACTGCCACTTGTCGGGAGGAGAAGCGCCGCTAGCTCTGATGATGTCGGTTAAGTCGCCTAAAAAATTATTATTATTATGATCTTCCATTACGACCGGGCATATCTAACGGTTAGACAACAGAAAGAATGATATTTGGAAATGAATTTAGAGTAGAGAGAGAAAGAAGATAATGAGATGGTGTTGTAGAGAGAAAGGAAGACGATGACTTGGTGGTGATAATAATATCAAACATGAATTCCACGCAATTTATATTACTGTAAATAAAATTTTAATACAGGTTTATTACTTATATTTTTTTTACTATATATATTTATAATATTCGTACTTATTTTATTCTAAAATTTATTGTTAAATATTGTGATAGTTTTGATATATAATCCAAAACAATTATTATATATATTAATGTTATTTCATAAAGTTTTACTTTTGTTGTTTTAATAAAGCAGTTTAATTAAAGTCATGCAAAAAATATATGAAATTACATGTTTATGTTTCAGATATAACTTTTTACCTTTTTGCAAACATAAATTTAAAAGTTCTAAAAAATCGATAAATAACCTAGATCGAAGATTGGTATATATAAGATCAGATTAATCGAATATAAGAGGTGATTGGATATAAGTTATTTTGGATTACAGCTCCGAATAGTTGATGATGTGACGTGGGAAAATTATGATTGATTGATATTATATTTATATTAATAACATTAATAAATGTTATTAATATAAGTATGTATAATAATGCTAGCGCAATTAATTATTTTTGTTAAATTAGAAGTAATATATTAATAATGTATCATGTTCTTCACCATCTACATCGCTTTCTATCCGTCTAATTTCTCTCTATTTTCCATGATATTTGTTGTCTTAAGCTAAGCATAAAAGTTGGACTATGTGCCTCGTCAAAAATATGAAGTCTCATAATTATTATTCCAATGGCGTGCGACACGCTTGAATGTAGCATGAATAAGAACTAATCCCTCCCTCTATATTAAGTCCAAACGTGTCGAGTGTAAGTGACAGATTCTCACGCTTTGGATGTTGATATGTCGAAAATCTATGCTTAGTAATGTTGTTTTTATATCATTTTTGTTGTGGAGTTAATTTTGGTATTAGACATAAATACCAAACTATTGAATGCAACTATTAACAAAACAAACTATAAATGGGTTTGAGTTTAGCTCGTTTATCAAACGAATCGAGTTTACGAGCAGTCATCGGCTCGTTTAATTTAACAGCTCTAGTGAACTACGTACTATAGTCTCTCCCATTAGTGTTGTATTTGTATGTGTAATTAATTGATGTAGGGGAAAGCGTACGAATGGGAAGGATAAACGAGTAAACGAGATACTCTCTCGTAAAACACGCAAAACTTTCAATATCTTATTTCATATTCAAAATCAACTGAATAAAACAATAGATGATGAGTCCTTTAAATAAGGCTCATAACCCTATTCCTAACTTGTCCAACAAGACAAGATCTCTTATAATAATATTAGATTTCTAACTTATTCTCTAAGATACCTATAATAATAATAATAATAATAATAATAATAATAATAATAATAATCATCTACACCATTCTCCTCCGGTTCGGAAGGCTTCGCCCTCGAAGCCGATGCGCATCCATGGCCGGTGTATGGTGTCGAACCCATGATAGTAAATCCCTGCCGTTTCCCCCGATCGAACACGAAGGTCGAATACCTTACCTCCATAGTATTGCCCCCTTGAAATTCATATAAAGGCATATATGCTGCAGTCACACACAGAATACTGAAGTCACCGTGGGGACCAAAAAACAACATCTCTTTGTCAGGTCGCAACAAATTCTCATGGGAGAAAAGCTCGGGCCTGCGCAATAGAAGAACTATTTCTTCCAACAGCTGAATTTTGAAACTCGAAACATGATGGTAATCCTCTAGCCCTGGAGGCTCCTCAACGAAAATCGGCGGATCGTCGTAGAGATCGTCCACTTTGTCGGGAAGACGATCCTCCACCTCTTCGGGTCCTTCATCAAATACAGGCGGACCATCGTACAATGACCCGTCAACTTGCTCTTCATCGAATTCAGAGATGTCAACGCGAAACAGGCCCTCCCACGGACCAAATTCACGATCAAGTCCCCAATCGTGTCGGGCACGATATCCGCCAGCGAAGGCTGCCTCCTTGCGCCAACCCCTATCGCCGCCATGATCGTTGCCGTCCACGAAGCCGTTCAGAGGTGGCGGGAACCACTGTCGGGGCGCCCCGACATGGCTGCGTCCCCCACAACCGTCTCTGTCTCCCCCGCGAAAGCCACGGCCCACAGCCCCATCGCGGTTCGTTTGCAATTCCGAAACAACCACGTTGTTAAGCGTCAAATGCCAATCCTCGATCCCCGTCGAAAGATCGGCAAACCAATCTGTGAAACGCACGTCCAACTCTTGAAATCGGTAGTCAATCTGTTGAAACCGACCGTTGAAGGTTGCGTCACGTTGTTTGTTTGCGGCATCTTGTCGTCCCGGCGGCATCGCGATCGTACTGACTGCTGATACCAACTGATGTAGGGGAAGCGTGAACGAATGGGAAGAATACGAGATACTCTCTCGAACTTGGGATACTCTCCCAAAAAAACACGAACAATTTTAATTCATTCTCAAATTCAACTTGAGATAACAAAAGAGGGGAGTCCTTTATATAAGGCTCATAAATTCTAATCCTAACTTGTCTAACAAGACAAAAATCCTAACAATACTAACTTGTCTAACAAGACAAGAATCCTAACAAAAGTGATAAATAATAAGTTTCCTAACAAATCTATAATACCACTAATAATAATAATAATAATAATA